TTACTGTGACCCGCTTCCACATCGATAAGTTCTTTGAGCATCTGTTGAACATTTTCAGTTAAGATGGAGAGGGTAACTGTCTTCTTAAAGACGACCTTGAGTTTCTGTCTACAGAACTAAGGTAGATCCTGTTCCCTCTCTAGTGTATGAAAAACAAACTGTAAAACTTTACCACAAGAGATCTGGGTATTACAGGGCTTATAGTCAAATTAGATCTTCAAACCATACCTTTAAGGGGTGTTCACAAGGACCCAGGGGTTGCCAGAACCCTGTTCAGGGCTCAGAAGTGGCTTGTTAAAGCTCCTGGTGACCATAACCTCGCACTGGAAGGAGCTCACAGCCTGCCCCAGGTTGTCAGGAGCCCGCTTTCCTGCACAGCACCCCGCAGCAGCCTGTTCAGGCTCAACCATTCCATTTATGCTGACATCCGTGACCATTAAGAAGGGGCAGGGCTGTTTTGAAGGACTCAAACAAGCAGTCAATTTATTCTGCGTAAGTTTCTTATCTGGTAAAGAAAAGAGAGAAGCAAAGAGTTGGCTTTGGTGCTGGGACCCAAGGGGAACCCTACCATTTTAAGTCAGGCAGTCAGTATGAGCTAATTTTTCTAACTTTATGGAACACCCAGTATATGTGAGCCATTGAACTTGAACTGCAGATAAAGAGATGAGAACACAAAATGACCCCTCTGCCTGGTGGGCCAACATTCTAAAGTAGAAACTGAACCAACCAACATTCACCAAGCCCCTTCCTGGGTCTGGCTCCTGACTGGGTACTAGGAAACAAAGTGAGAAGAAAGTTCTCTCCCTGCTCCCAGGGAGTACACAGTGGTGTAAGAGGGAGGAGTCTGTAACATAAGGTCACCTGAAGGGTTCCCATCACCTCAGAACAGGATGTGAGGCATCTGCCTAGAGGGGATCTGTACAGATGCCTCTCCCTGTCATGCTTTAAGCAAAAGCAGTAATTGCTCATCAGGGAGGTGACAGGGTTCTGCATTGATTAGGACATTTTTTCATTGCCAGTCCCCACTCCTACACCCAAGCACCCATGCACATGCTTCTGCAATGTCCTGGAGCTGAGAAAAATGTGTTGTTCCAACCTACCAATAAGCACTGGGTGACATGGCCTCAGCTCTGTAAGTTTTAGATTCTATGTGCAGTTCCACAATGACAGAATTCAGAGTCCAGCTCCATAAAGGAGCCCTTGGTATTTTATGTTGTCATGGTGAAGACATTTAAAGTACGTAGGAGCAGTAAGTGCTCAGGAAACAGCAGCAACTCGCTGCTGCATCTGAGTCTCTGGCTACAGATATGTGCCCAAGCCTCAGGAGCTGCCCACAGCAAGCAAGAGGCAAACCAACCTTTCCTACAACATTAGCAGGGCCAGGGCCAGGCTGTCCCACTTTTTGGGCCCCCTGCTAGTGTCGGTTCTCCTGAAACCCTGCCCAGGTTGGTCTGGCACCAACCATTTGCAGGCAGAGTAATAACCTGTTCAAAGGACACAGGAAGACTACAATCTGGTTGTGAGCAGCTGCAGCGATTTGTGTGATTCAGTGCTCCTGACAGCTGGATTTTGGTTGCTGTGCCAACACGTATGACAGACAAAGCACAAACCCCAAAGGCCACATGGAACCAGGAAGTAGAGCTGGTGTTACAAGCACCTTGGACAGAAAGGTCTGAGAACCCAATAGAACAAGTCTTCCTTTAGCCCCTTATCCTGTCCTAGTCATAGGGGAAGGGCTTGCCTGCCTCCCTCATACCCATCCAGGGTCTCTTCAGGAACGGAGAGACAATGATTAGAAATCCCAAAGGTTACCTTTGAATGTAGGCACCCTGGACGACACCCATAGTGTCTGTACCTTTGATACCTTTTTCATGATACTTTGTTGATGTGTTACACAACCCTCTGAGTTGTGCAACCCATGAGGATGGCAGTAGAGTGGAAAAACTGGCCTAACTTAGTGCAACACAGGTTATTACAGACAACTGGACACAGACGCACGAAGATCCCCACGAATTATATAACTAATAACTAGAAAGCTATTTCTCTTCAAAAATAAGAAAAAATGATTTCAAGCTTGTCCTCTGACCCTTCCTCTGTGTTTGTAAATACTAAACACAAAAGTCATTCCTTTCCTTTATAATCCTGCCTAATTCCAAAATGGCACGAGAGAGAGAGAGAGAGAGAGAGAGAGAGAGAGAGAGAGAGAGAGAGAGAGAGAGAGAGAGAGATTGGACATGAAACCATGAGCCTTGAAACACTTTCAGTAGCCATATCTTTTGTTTATAATCATGCTAATTTCAAACTGACACATTATACTTGTGTATGATGCTGGGTGTGAAACCCCGGGAACTAAGCACACTAAGTAAGCATTTGCCATGAGCATATTATATCCTCAGAGTCGTCTTTCCTTTTCAAAGTTACCATCACTGACAGGGTCGTTAAGACCTCAAACCTCTATCACTATATTCTTAACAGACCACATTTCATCCTGTTGAACGAGTTTGATTATAACTGACATGACAGTCTTCATTAAATAAAAATTGCTTATCTCACCCTTCCTCTTATTAAGGGAGAAATTGAAATGGTTATGGGCTGGCCTAGGGTGTCACTGACATGATTTCCTTAAGAACTTTTTGAGGTGGTCCAGTAGGATATATGACGCAATCCAGGAAGACCTAGATTCTAATTGTGGCTCTACAGACAAGTCATTTATCTAACCCTTTGGGCAGCGGTCTTCTCTATGGAATGGGGCACAGCTATCCTGTAAAGCAAGCGGGGCAGGCATCCAGGAGCGGAAAGCTCTGAGGAGTTAGGCTTGGCTTCAAGCTCCGTCTTTGCCATGCATGGTGTACTGCTTTGCAATGATCAGTTTGGCTGAGTCATAACCCATGCTTTAACACCCGTGCTCAGTATGACACGGGATGCCATCTGTGAAGTACCACAGAGCCCCTATCTCTTGCCTTGCAGGTAGTTGGCATGCACACACTGTCCACTAGACTCTATGGCATAACACAGGGTAGGTTAAGCAGGGATGAACACAGGCCTTGTTCTAAACACTGACAGCAGGGGCTGGGGACTGTGCTGGTTAATCTGGCAGACAGTGTTAGGCAGAAGCATCACTTTTATTGATATATTTAAGCCTCACCTTTGCTCCAAAAAAGCTGTACCTGCACTAAGCAAGAATTAGCTGGCTTTGAGCACCCGGCCTTGCCTGCCCCATGACTGGACTTTATTTTACATCTCCGACTACAGGCATCCAAGCCCTTTCCAAACAGCACCCGGGCTTTCAGGTCTAGTTAGTCTTGAGCAGTGCTTGTCTGAACCCAGGTGAGCCGATTCTGATTGCCACTGGAAGAGGGCAGAGACTCAAGGATGCTAACCCTCTAGGAGCCTACTCTGTCTCTGGGTTCTTCAGGAAAGATGAACCCTCAGCTCACCACCCCGGCTTCCTCCCAAAGTGCACTCCCCGCGCACCTTGATCCCGCGGCAGCATCACGGCTTCCCCTCCCTGATCGCTGCCGGGAAACTTTATAAGAATATTTCACTTCCACTCAGCAAAGGATGTGGTTCGCTGATAATCAAGTTCAGCCATGGGACTTGGACGGCGTGGCCCCGGGCGTTGCTGGAGCTTAAAGACGCAAGATCACAGAGGCGGAACAGCCCTAACCACAGTCGTAGATGGAAGCCGGGTTGGGCAACACGAGGTCCAGGGACCCTAAAGGCCAGGCGAAAAGGGGAAACATTGTAAGGTGGAGAACCGAGCAAGCTAGCTCGCGCGCAAAATCCCGGGCAGGGTAATGCAGCGCTGGGGGCCCCGGGCCGGTTTCCACTTCTGCAAATGAATCAGAGACCAGAGAGCCACCTAACCCTGAAGTTAGTCTAAACCGACACCATACACCAGGCTGATGCCGATCGAGACTCGGAGACCCGGAAAGCCCAAGGAAGAAGTGAAGGGGACCGGGGAGAGACCCCCGACGCGCGGACAGGCTCGGAGGGTCTCGGTGTTGCTCCGCCTCCTCCCACACCTGGTGCTCCGGGATCCACCACCTCCCGGCGCTCGGCGCCGGGCATCGAGGCTCGGTCCTCCCCGACGTTCCTGGACGCCGAGGGGCAGAGGCTGGGCAGCCCTGGAGTGCCCGCCTGGGGTGACAGAGGGGAGGGTCCGGAGGGCAGGTGAGCAGATCCCGGGCTGCGCACCGGGATCGCGCCTACGTGGGGACGGCGAGGGCCCGCCATCCAGCCCAGGGCAGGCCAAATTTCATCCCCCAACTTCGCTCACCGATAAGGGGTGTATGGGAAAAAAAAAAAAAAAAGAGGAAAACTTTCAGAACTTTTCTCAACTCCGGCCGGAGGCGGGCGCGGAGGGCGGTACCTGCACCCTGATTCGCGGGCCGCCCGTGCCGAGCCGCCGATTGGCGCGCGGGGTCCCGGGCCGGGGACCGAAGCCAGGGGGAGGGGAGCGGCCTCCCCGCCCGCGGGATCCGCTCGCGCCGGGAGCGGGTTAATTTCAAATCCGGGCTGGACTGCTCCAGGACGGACACGCTCCCGCCGCCGCCCGCCGTCCCGCCAGCCCCGCTTCTGCGCCGGGCCGCGGGCAGCCACC